CTCCTCCTCTTCTTCTTCTTCCTCCCCCTCCCCCCTCCTCTTCTTCTTCTTCTTCTTCCTCCTCCTCCTCCTCCTCCTCTCCCTCCTGCTCCTCTTCATGTTTTTCTTCCTCTTCCTCTTCTTCTATATATATATAATTATAGAATAGCTAGAAGATAGAATACTTTATTGGCCAAGTGTGATTGGACACACAAGGAATTTGTATTGGTGAATATGCTCTCAGTATACATAAAAGATCAGGAATCTTGACGAATGCATCTTTTCATTTATGTATATTATTATTATTATATTTTATATATTGTTATTTTTTTTTTATTTATACATCTCGAGCAATTTGAACCGAACTTGGTACACAGATGGCTTACCCTCTGGAAACAAATACCATGGGAGTAAGATAACCCTAACACCCCTCGTGTGGGTGGGAGTGCCTTAAAATGGCTTCTGCCATGGTAACAGCTTCACAGGGCTCCCTCTTGTGGAGGAATGCAGGAATTTGCGATGCTGCGCGAAAGACAGGACAACAGCGTGAGTCCTGACTACAGGATTTTCCTGTCTAATGCAGGATTGGGATAAATCAATACCTGGGCAACGCCGGGTTATCGACTAGTTTTACATATAACAGAGAATGTCCCTGGAGATTCTCAGTCAACCAGGTCAATGGTTGTCCCAAAAATGCTTTTTCAGGAGGCAACTGGACTTTCTTGTTTTTCTTTGAAGAGGTTTCGCTTCTCTTCTAAGAAGGTTCTTCTGCTCTGGCTTCCATTCCCCACCATTCAATCAGAGCTCATCTTACCCGCCAACACATCTGCGGTTAAGCGATTGCGTTTTGCCACATTTCCGACCTTTCTTGCGCCTGTTGTTAAAGTGAATTGTTGCGGTGGATAAGTCAGCGAACTCGTGGTTAAGCGAATCTGGCTTTCTCCCCCCCCCCGACTTTGCTTGTCAAGAAGGTCGTAAAAGGGGATCCCGTGATCTTGGGACACTGCGACTGTCCTAAATAGGAACCAGTGGCTGGGCGAATTTTGATCCCATGATTATAGGGTCCATAGGTTCCCTTTTTAAACACTGTGTTCCCAGCTGCAGCTAATGAAGGGAATCAGGGCCTTTTCCTCCCCCGTAAGCCATGCCACCCACGTTGCTCTCTTCTCCATTCCTCCCTGCATGCCCTAGGATGAAGAGCGGGTGGGCCTGGGTCTTCCTCTGAACTCCCTCTCCCTTGTTCTCCCTCTCCCCTGCTTTGCCCAGCCGGACTTTGCCCTTCCCCAGTTTCCTCCACAGCCAATGGAGTCACGCTCCTGCTCCCTGTCAGCTGTTCGGATTCAGGGGCATGACAGGTTTTCCCCCAACCAGCTGAATCCCACCACTGATTATAAGTCAAGGGGTACCTAAATACGTGATTGTCCTTCCCTCTTCCTCTCTTATCTTTTCGCCTGGCCTTCCTCCCTGCCTCTCACCCCATCTTGGCTTTTTTCCTCGTCTTGCTCCAGACTGGTGGAAGAATTTATGCTGCTGGCCAACATGGCGGTGGCTCATCGGATTTACCGCTCCTTTCCCACCCGAGCCCTCCTGCGCCGGCATCCCCCACCGCAGAGCAAGATGCTCCACGACCTCATGGCCTTTTGCAGCCAGATGGGCCTGGAGATCGACTGCAGCAGTGCCGGCGCCTTGCACGTGAGTAAACGGCAGGAGCCAGAGGGCGCAAAAGCTTCTGGGTCCAAGGAGGCGCCTCAGATGGGCTCCTGCTGCCTTGAGACAAGGTCTGGAAGACTTTTCCGTTTCCCCCACCACCACGGAATCGGCTCTGTAAGGAAAGGAAGGGAGGAACCGTGGGGTCCTCGATGTTCTCTGAGCTCGGGTGGTTTTCTTGAAGACATTTCATGGCTCAGCTAGGTCAGTGCTGGAATGGAGTTGGTTTTGCAAGGAGAAAGAGGAAGGCCGGGGGAGGAGGATGGTTGTGGTGCCTCCTTGGTGACTCCCCGAGCGTAGTTGTTTCCTTGTGCAAATATCTATTTGAGCAAAACGTATATTGTTTACTTTTAGTATTCCTTTCTTGCCAAGCGACGTTTGCTCCGCTTCTAGTTCCCGTGTTTCTATCTCTTTCTCTTTCCTCCCAGAAAAGCTTGAATGAAACTTTTGGGAATGACCAATACAGCGATGCAAGGAAGGAGGTGCTGACCAACATGTTCTCTCGTCCCATGCAGGTAGGGAAGAGGGGGGGCACCCCAAATAACCCCTCCCTGCCCAGTTAGGGTATTGAAGTGCAGGCTGTGGACGCTGCCTCTAAAGCAGGGGCAGGCTTCAAAAAAAGCATAGCAACTAGTTGTCTGCCTGGTTGCTGGGTGGGTGTGGCCATGGTGGGCGTGGCTTAGTTGGCCTCCTGCACCACGATGGGAGGGGGGGGTGTTTTCTCCCTCCCTGGGCTCCAGAGGCTTCATTCGACTTCAACTCTCAGAATTCCCCAGACAGCTATGCCGACATCCAGATCTCTTCCCCGTTTCCTGGGATGGAGAGAGACCTCCGAGTATCTCTTCGCCAACTACTCCTGCTCCTTGCTAAAACTTGGCCGCTTCTTTCGCCGTCAGCCATGCCGGAAACGCCTCCGTCTTCTTCCCCAACCTCGTTGTCGGCGGCTTCTGATCTCTCCCTCCTCTTTGCAGATGGCGGTTTATTTCTGCACCGGCGTGCTGAAGGACGAGAACCTCTTCCGACACTACGCCCTCAATGTGCCTCTCTACACGCACTTCACGTCGCCTATCCGCCGGTTTCCAGACATCGTGGTGCACCGGCTGCTCGCGGCTTCACTGGGTGAGTTTCTTAGGACGATGGGCGGGCTGGCTGGCTGATTGCCTCTAGGAAAGGATAAGGCAGGGGTATCCAACCGTGGCAGCTTTAAGATCCGTGGACTTCAACTCCCAGAATTCCCCAGCCAGCATGGGGAAGACCATAAAGATCCTGATTAGTGTCACTGGATAGATTACTAGATTCCAGCCAGCCAGGCAACTGTGAGCAGGCTGGGGAAAGTCATTCATTCGTTCGTTCGTTCGTTCTCTCATTCACTCCATCCATCTATTCATCCATCCATATATCCATCCCATCTTTGTTATTTTTACAAATAACTCCAGGTGGCGAACATATCCAACACACCTTCCTCCTTCTCTTTTCCCACACGACAACCCTATGAGCTGGGTTGGGCTGAGAGAGAGAGAGAGAAAGAGAGAAAGAGACTGGCCCAAAGTCACCCAGCTAGCTTTTCTGCCTAATATGGAACTAGAACTCCCAATCTCCTGGTGATTCTGCAAAAGTCCCCCAGCTGGCTTTCATGCCTAAGGTTGAACTAGAACTCACTCTCTCCTGGTGACTGGCCAAAAGTCACCCAGC